ATTCTATACACTTAACAATATTTTCATGTTGAATAAAAAATATTTCATTATTAAATATCCTACCTCTTAAAAATTATCAAAATTTATTGACCCGAGGCGCAGAAATCTGCCTATATACATATTACTTTTCAACACAGTATAATGTAACATAACTTTTACTGAAAATCCTTTTTGTTATTCTGCTCTATTCATTTTTTATTTAGATATCCCACGTATAAAATTGCTCAATTCATGAAACTGATATCATTTGTATTAAAGCTTGTCAAAATTTCGCAATTCTTAATTGAAATAAAAACTTTCTTTATCAGTATTCTTATACAAGCTATAATTAAAGTTAAGAAATGGTCAAAAACCTGTTTCACTAATTCATCTCGATCAAAAATTGGCGATACTAATAGGTTCACTTTTTTGAGAGCAACTAAATATTTATGATAAACAAAAACTGCATCAGCTGACGTTCTAATATGGTTGCACTAGCCAGAAGGTCGCCGTCTACTTTTTTTTAACAAATTTACAACACATTATGTAAATACTTCCAATTGCCTCAAATATGGGTCAAAAAAGGAAATATTACTAAGTTTGGTGGTAACTATTTATAAATCTGTTCGGTTCTTCATTAGAAATACATCGAGTTCTATTTTTATAGTTCCAGTTTGCGTTTTAGTTTTAATATTTGTCTTCAGTAGATGAAAATATAAACAAATACCACAAAAGAAGAAAGACTTGTTAAATATAAAAATAAAGAATACTGATTATAAGTAAAAGCTTTATTTGAGGTTAATTAAAGAAAATAACAAAATATGAAACGAATATATTTTAGTTTCATTTATAAGTATCTATTAGTTGAATGACTACTAGTATTTACAATTAGATCAATTGTATGCACTTTTACAAGGTTTTTGTTAAGAATAATAATTAAAATAAAATTATTAGGGCTATGTTAGTAAAAGAGGATGTCGATAATTTTGGAAATTGAAGGCATTTTTTTAAAGCTAGTACAAGATTGTTGTAAAAACTGTTTTACATTTAACAATTTTTAGCTGAAAAAGATGACTAACAAATTAGTTAACTTGTAGTGATATTTGTAATACAGAAATTGTAATAAACCTCATTGCCACCGTTTCAAATAAGAATAGACCTTTTTCAAAAATTTTTATTACGCTTAAATCAACAATTATTTAGTATGTTCTGTACAATTTATTTTGCTCCATTTTTTATCGCCATAAACACATTTTATCACATAAACTGAAATATGAAAAAAATATGTTACTCTAATTTAAATTCAAGAAATCTTAAGGGGGATATAAATATTATTTACTGCTTTAAAGTTGTATAATTGATTAATTACAAATAATAAAGCTGAAGTTGAAACTAATGAAAATTGTCCACTGGAAAAAAAAACGTAAATGGTTGTAATTTTTTTAACAAATTTTACGATTTTTAGTTACTTTTTCATAACTAAGTTTCTGAAAATGAAAACCATGAAATATAGGTACACCTGACACCAATAATAGTTATTATCATTTTCATTTTAAAAGTTAACATTCTTAAATCTGCACAATACATTAGCTAATTTAATCAAAATTTTAAACATATAAAAAGGTTTAAAAAGATTTTAGAAACAATTGTAACAATCTGAATTTCTTGATCAATGATCGAGTTCAAAATTATCAAACGTAACTGACAAATTGGTCAAAAAAATCGAAAATATTTTATTGTATAACTTCGATTTATGTTATTTTTTTCTGTTTATTAAGTAGTACCAATTTTATTTACATTTCTCACTTTAGTCGTCGGACTGAGACTAACTAATGTGATTTGTTTAAGCGTTATAATAAATAATCTTGAACAATAGAGGTACTGACATTAATAATAGCTATTATCATTTTTATTTTAAATAAATGTGAACTTTAATTTATTGTAAAATGTCAAATATGTAATGAGGTTCAAGAAACATTGAGAGAATTGTAATAGTTTGTTTATGAATAATCGGATTGAAAAAATTGATACTAAGTGGTTCTAACTACGTGGATGTTTTCTTTTTACTTTAATATTCATGATGTCGATTTTAGTTACATTTTACAATTAAGTGTCACGAATTATATTATATTTTGTGAGTTTTGGGGACCGAGACTTAAAAAAATAGTTATTTAGAAATTATTAAACAATCGAAACAGAGACATGTAAAAAGGTACCAAAATATAGAAAAATGTGGCAATTTCTCGATCACTAATTGGTTAAAAAATTGTTCAATGTAAAACATGCCTATATAATTACTAATTACAGTCAAGTTAAAGCCGTATTCCGCCAGATTTCAGATAAATTTTTCCAAAAGCATTTACTCACAACATTATGTATATGGAACCAGTTTGAATATAATGAAATGTGAGTACTATCAAGATGTGCGGCTGACTAGTACACACTGGATACTAAATGTTTATCTTTTATTGTTCACCACATTAACTCTCTCTCCGGCCAGCGCGAGCTGACGAGATTTGATAAAGCGAAACAGTTCCGTTTTAGAAATCCTCCAGAAACACTTAGAGCGGTGGAAAGAGTCTTATACTATCTAAAGCCGTGGTTTGCCTAATTTATAGTACACTTGCAGATGTTAACGATATATAAAAAAATGTACAACAACAATACTACAGCGACCTCATTTGTGTTATAAATTGTCGTATATTAGTTATACGATGTATAAACATATTTTTACGACACCTATTTCATAAACAGGTTCATTTTTGGTTGTCTTCAATGTTCTAATAACACAGGTCAACAAGGGTCAAGAAGCAGACACACTAATACGCATTCCCGAAGGATTTTGGTGCGCTGAATCCGAATCTGGCTGCAGAATTGCTCTATAACATCAGGTTTTTGAGATATCCTAACTTAAAAGTGCAAAAAACACTGTTTTTCGTCATTTTTGAGGTTATGTAGTAATGCCATCTATTCTTTAAAAAAAATACATACAATTTAAAAATACAAGGCTCCCTCTTTCGAATGCCGTTGAGTTTGCTCAAATATATTTTTTTTTCGTTGAGATATCACATGCTGAAATTTCTAAGTTTATCAATTTCTTAATATGCGAAAATCTATACTAAGGATCCCTTAGACGTCAAACAGTTGATTGCAGTTCAGAAACTTCATACTCAGAAACCTTCAATACATACGAACGAACTCCAACTCACAAACTCCAAATCCACAAACGCACAAACCCCAAACCCACAATCCCTAAACCCACAAACCCCAATCCCACAAAACCCGAACATACAAACGCCAAGCTTACAAACCCCAAAGAAACTGAGAAACTTAAAAATTTCAACATGTGATATCTCAACGAAAAAAAAAAACAGATATTTGAGCAAACTCAACGGCATTCGAAGGAGGAAGCCTTGTACTTTTAGATTCAATATATTAGTTTTTTGAAAAAGAATAGATGGCATTACTACATAACCTCAAATATGAAGAAAAACACTGTTTTTTGCACTTTTAGGTTAGGATATCTCATAAACCTGACGTGAAAGAGCAATTCTGCTGCCAGATTCGGATTCAGCGTACCTAAATCCTTCAGAAATATATATTCCAGTTTCTGCTTCCAAAAAAAAGTTAAATTTTGTTGGTCTATGTAATTTAATTTATACATGAGTGAGAACAAAATGCGTAAATGAATAAAAAATTTATTTCCCTAAGAGTCCCAAGTCGTAACAGATTTTGGTTTTGGTTTTGCAAACGGAAATTTTAGTAAATGTGGTCGGTAATTGTACAATTTTGGATATGAGTAATATTTTTGATATATCTGTTGGTTACTGGCAAATAAATTTGAATCGCATTTCCAAAAAGCATGTACAATAGATTACTAATTTTCAATAGATAAGCTATCTATAGTATACTTATATACCTAAGAAATAAGTGGAATAAGTATTTTACGTTTTGCCTAAAACTAACTCAAAATAAATCACCAATTATTTATGTCACTGTAACACTAACTCACTTTTTAGGAACCGAGAAAGCACATTCAGTTTTACTTTATTTTTTGTGACAATAATTTTTAAATACTATTCTCTCTTAATTTTAGTTGTTACTTTTGTTTATTGTCCAATTAACTAAGCCTTTAAATCGAAATTTTGCCAACTTGGCTGAATTTTTGATATGAGTTAGTTTAAGGTATATTATAACAATANTTTTCAATAGATAAGCTATCTATAGTATACTTATATACCTAAGAAATAAGTGGAATAAGTATTTTACGTTTTGCCTAAAACTAACTCAAAATAAATCACTTTTAATCATAATTCGAAATTAAAGTCACCAATTATTTATGTCACTATAACACTAACTCACTTTTTGGGAATCGATAAAGCACATTAGTTTTTCTTTATTTTTTGTGGTAATGATTTTTAAATATTACTCTCTTAATTTTAGTTGTTAGTTTTGTTTAGGTAAGTGTAAAATCTCACGTTTAGATATTTAACTACGTCAAATTTGTTTTTTAATACACCGCATTTTTCTTGGGACTATTTTTTATTAAAAAATTGCACAAATTGTAATATTTAAAAGAATGGTACTTGAGGTCGGAAACTTAATCAACAATGGATAGAATCACGTTACTTTTCAAAAAGTTCGTCGTTAACGGAACTAAGTCCTACACCAAAAACTTATTACTATTCAAGTTTGAATAACAGATTATGCTTAATTAAGTATTAAGTAAGTTAATTAAAACTGTTGTTAAATTACGGCAAAACAAAACGCTTGTAACAAACGATTTAACAACCAACAATCTCGACTAATTTGCTGCCTGCGAATAAACGGTACTCAAAGCCTTAATACAGCCACGTTTTTCTATCGTCATCTCGCTAAACACAAGATGGGCGTACGGGGATTTAATTAAAATGGAAATTTCGAAGTGTCATAATCGGGTGGCATTTCGAAAACAAGGCTGAATACCAGTAGCCGAGTAAATTATACACTAGACCGAGACCCATCAGGGTTTTCTGTTACAGACGTGGGCGACACAGATGCTGGGCACACACATCGACGAAAGTCCGTCCGGAGCCGAGAACCTGTCCCATGAGCAGCGACCAGCGACACTAATGCAACCCGGATCGCATCACGAATGTCCCGGTACGTCCATTCGGATTTATCGCAAACGATAAATCTGCCAGTTACATTAATTATAACAGTTACTGTGACTTGTTTATTTTAGAACAAATTTAATTTCGAACGCGATTTGTTTATATCCGTGGAATGTGGTAGCCTTTTAAGTATTAATACACTTATTCTTGCCCTATTTTAAGCGTTTACAGTTCGTGTCGGCAGTAGTATTAATCAGTGTTAGGAATATTGTTCCAGGAAATATTGTAGACCTAATTTACATTTTAATAGATTTTTATTTTATTTCCCTAACGTGTTTATGGTCTGATTAGAGACGACTAGCTTCTAAAATCACTTACACTTTATATTTAATAGGTGTTAATACCGAGCTTAATACAATCTTAATTTCTTTAAAGGTATGTAGAATGTATTCGTAACTATAATTTATAAAAGCTGTTCTGACAAATTCAATCTGTAGAATGTAGTAGCTCTCTAAAGCAGTATTTTTGTTATCGCCCTGTTTTACGCTACTTGTATGCACAGTTCCCTAGTAGGCTATTTATCAATTTTAGTTATACAAGCATTCAAAATATTCAAGAGTATATCGATGAGTAAGTAGGTAAGTAGATTCTAATAAATATTTGATTGCTTATAGGCACTGGTCATGGTTAAAATATGTTTATCAAAAGAATTTACACTATTTCGTAACTGTTACAGTCTGATACTTAAAAAATAGTAGATTTAGAGTTGCCCTAGCAGGCCAGAAATTGTAAGAATTAAGCTTATGGTCAAATCTTTAAATATATTTTGTTAATTTAGATATTAAATTCACTTTATTTCACAGCTAAGGAGCCAATATAGTTTTTTAGTAGGTTTTGAATATTAATTTAGTTAATAACTTTCCGATTAATACATTGCAATAATGCTTATTTGTACAAGTGTAAACACAATGAAAAAATGCGTCATATTGTCAATGTATTTATTATTATGTCATCTTTATATGAAAAGTAATGATATTTATTGTAATTTTTTAATACCTTTACTTATGCCTAAATTAAATCAAAATGCAAAACTGATTAAAACTACTTCATATATGACCATATTTTTTTTCTACTAGGTAGTTAATTTTTCAAAATGAAACAATAAATATCAGTTTTATAAATGACTTGATTTCAAAAACCTCTGCAAAAAATATTCTTATACAAGGTACTTACTTAAAATACTTAGATCGTTTGAAACTTTCTATTATTTTTCTTTATTACATATTTATTTTTTTGGTGTCAACGTATTTCCACAATTTCCATCAAATTTTGTTACTTCAAAAGTTTGAAAAAATAGTAACAAAAATTTATTTTTAGTTTATGACAAAATAAAAGTTTTATTTCATTAATTATATCATAATTAACTTACAAGAGTATCAGAATGATTGTATATTTCTACACTAATAGATTTTTAGCAAATTATATTTCTATTATAAGCAACTTTAAAGGTATTTGCAGACGCTTCTGGTAGTTTTTGTAATTGAAAATTGTACGTGGTGCATCTATCTATTTCTAAACTTAATTATACGAGTATAATAAATATGCATATTTTAGGTAGGTAAGTCAATTTAGATCTTAAGGCTAGAAACAGCTGGCAATTTTTTTTAACACTGTTGCTCTTATGATGTATTCAGAGGCAGCTGCTACGACGTAATAAATAAAATACGCGTGGCAACTGCTGCCTTAATTCGTATTATAGATACATTTTTATAGTAAAAAAAATCTGGGAACGTGCAACTAGATGTACTTTAGTTTTAAAAATTCGCAGTGCCATTTCGTTTTAGCTTCTAAGAGTCCATGGTGCCATTTAAGTTTTAAGTCTGTAAGTTTAAATTCTGACTACCATATGAACGTAAACGAAACCATAGCAAAATTATTTTACAAGCTGTATTAGTTCAAAGTAATTCTGTATTCCTTTTCCTCTTCAAAAACATGATTTTGACAAAGACAAGACTTAAGGGAAAGTGTTAACACCAGCACACAAAAAAAATTGAGAATTCCCTACAGTGAAACCATCTTGGTCTACGCTTCAACTTACATAATTTTTTCAGAAATAATCAGGTGTCTGGTACAAACAAAACTTTCTATTAACATATGTTGAGTCAAAGAAGGCCGTCGTTAAAAAAAATTGCAGCGATCATTGTGGGAACCTGGCTAAATCTGGTTTCGTCTACGATTCACGTATAGGTAGAAGTTAATTATCATCTGAACATTGAAGTAGGTCTATTTTGAATTGATTATTGAAATTTTAATCAGGAAGCCGTATTCCGAGATGATACGACTGATAGATACATAAATATATATGATTGATATTTTGGTTTGATAAAAGGAGGTTTATAAATTTAAATTCCTGATCGAATACTTAATGTATTTTCGATTATAATTTATATATGTATGATGTCAAAAGATGTATCGGATAAGGTCTACTGATGTTTGATTGACATGTTTGATATACTCGCTACTAGTTTTTAGAGCCTAATTACAAAGTTTATTAGCCACTTTCGAATAATTATTGTATTATCTGTTTTAGTTGTTTAGTCGTCTCCTGTGTTTTTATATTATATTTGTGTACTACAAATTAGGCTGAGACATAGCTTTAATATATTCAACAATTTGTATCTGACCTGTATATTTTTAATAAATTCTATTACAAAAAGGTATATAGCCTCTTTATTTCGGACCTTATTAACCTTAATTATTTTCAAAAGTTATGTGTTGTCGAATGAATTTAATCACCACTTGGAACGCATAGCTGCGGAAGTAGAAGCTTTTTGCAAGACAGGTAAGCTAATCCCTTAAGAGTTCATTTAACTTTTCACTATGAACCACTTGTCAATAAAAGATCAATATTTAATTTGCGATTGTTTAAGTTTTAATAGCTGAAATTAATTTTCTTCAAAAAATCGCTTCACATTTGATTATGTCGGAAGTAGAACAGTTTTCGTAATCTATTCAAAATCTGCTTATATCACCCACACTTCTATTGTCTAGTTTTTAGTGTAATTCGCTATTATTCTATTAAAGGATAATAATTAAAGGGAATCAGGATATTGTGCAATTCAAGAAATCATTAAGGTGAGTAATTACTATTATTTCATTAACGTTTTGTTAAATATTCATTAGCTTTATCAGTTTTTCAACTGCCAGCCATTGCTAACGTTTTCATAAAGTTTTTCTAATCCGACAGCGTGAGAAAACATTGACATTTCGTTTAATATAGATCAATTTTAATTGTTTCTCATATTTGGAGAAATTTCAGTATTGATTTATAACCAAATGGTTATGGTAATGTCGAGTTAGTTGGAAACAGAGTAGAGTTGTCATAAAAGGGCACAAAGATACATTAAAAACATGTTTATTATCACATTTACGGAACATGTACGATGAAAAATCACTGGCTTTGTAGTCAGTATAATATGTAAGAACGCGAAAAACAATGATTTCGCATTTAAAAGTAAAAAAATGGAGACCAAGCCAAGCAATTATACTGGTACGGCATGGCATACATTTCCTACATACCATTTGCGTTTATTTTTTAATTAATTAAGTTACTGTGTACAATCAGTATGTAAAAAATATAAACCGATACCGGATTGGTTTACCGAACCAAAAGTAATTGCAAATTAACAACATATAAACTAAAATAAATAACAACCATAAATATCGATCTAAAAAAACATGCTTTCAATAAACACTAACTATAATACAATCGGTTCTAAGGCACACAGTCAGCTGAATTTGATAATAATACATCACAAAAACATTTGTAAAACATCGAATACAGCGTTATACACTAAATAATAAAGTACCAACAACCATTTTGAACATTTCCTTATTACTACTTGGACTAGATGATGAAACGGTTACATTACGAAACGCCGCAATGTAACCATAATAAATATTTTTTCACTTTGTTTATTTATATAAGTACATCATAGCATTTAATGAAAACGTATGTTCAAAATGGCACGCCAAGCTACATCTCCTCTCGAGGAATGCGCTTCTCTGATGAAGTATGCGAAAATACACAAAACACATATGTCCATTACTGCGTGTACCTTGAAAAACTCATTACCTAACTAATATCCCTTGTCGGGCATATAATTTAAAAAATTTCATAGAATTAATAATTAATAATTAAAAAAGTTTGTACAAAATATTAATCGATATAATATACTAGATTAAAATTCATGAGTCTATATACAAAACAAAAAAATATACGGCACAAAAGAAGAAATATGGCCGCTCTGTGCTGAAATGCTTGCTATTTTCCACGACGCCGCTGTTGTACCTACATATATCCAACAAAGAAACGTATGCACGTGTTCCATATAATTAAATATCAAAATCAGAAACCAGTATGTCAACAAAGCCAATAAAATTAGATTTCGACATACCACCCTATTGTTGTGTGCTAAAGGATATGAGCCAATTAAAAATGTACTTGATATGCCTTCAATTATAACAATTCTGCATTTGTTTTAATGCAGACACTTATTTCATCGTGTTTTTGTGATAAATCATTAAAAAGCTTTTAACTCTAGGGGATATCGTGACGAGATTGTAGAACAATAGCGCTCGCTTTTTTAAATAATTTATCTTTACATTTAAGGATGCAACTAAACATTAAAAACGAAATTAATGTTAAAAAACGTCATTGCGAAGGATTTTTATATATGACAAGATCTTTATTCACCTCAGACCAAGATAAAACATTTTTGAACGAAAGTAAGAGAATCGGTAGAACTGCCAACTGTTAATAAGCGATTAAATATCTAACCACGCCTAGACAGAATCGTGGAACTACCTAACATTTTTTTATATGATTTTAAAATATGACAACTTGACAAAGATAATAAATAATAACAGTGTGTACGTCTTATTAAAAACAACCATTTTCTTACAGTAGCAGAATAGTGAATATCGGACTATTTAAATAGAACCCTGTAAACATTTCTCATACTCTTAATATGCACAAAATTATTTTTGCCAATACAAGTCAATAGTTTGAAATTTTGAAAGCTCGTAACATTAGATTCAGAATCCTTATTTATTTTTTAGGTATTATACTTAATGTGTTGCAAGAATAATCATTTTAGGTCTGGAAACCGTCATTTCACTTTTATGTTATTAACTTTAAATTCAGACGGCATATATTTTTTTTATTATTAGGTCGAGTATTCTTACTTCATCTTAACGGTATTGTTAACACAAATTAATTCAAATATGATTCTAAATATTCTATCAAATTAAGTCAAATCAAATTTCGATAATAATTTTCGTTATAGAAGAAAATTGTTTGATTTCATTTGATACCATTTTAGGAAAATGTTTTGTTGATATCAGTTTTTAAATCTAATTTGGAAATACACTTCAAAGTTTCTAAAATTCAAACTTAATTAGGGAAAACATTATGACTTAATTTCAATTCAAACTGAATGCAACAAATCCATAATTAAAACTTACTATACCGAAATACAATTATTGAAACTTTCTGAGATAAATTTAACTAACGCCTTTTGAATTGCATACGGGAAGGGTGTAAATATCGTAATTTTGTTTCATTGTATTGTTCAATATCAAATTACAAGAAATTACTTCAAGGGACGATAAAAAATTCTTCGGCACGGTCATTAAAATATTGCAGCCCAAACACTCGCAGCTGTCTAATTCGTGTTAATGTTCGACGTATCCACTGCGCCAAGTAAAAGTTCTCATTTAACGCTAAGCCCAATTCTCGCGTACACCTCCCCGCAGCAATGCCGCTTTGTAACACCACACCATCATCAATCATCTGCCGGCGAGCAGACTTAAAAGTGAAAAAAGCAGCCAAATTAGAAATTTTAGAGGTGGGGGCAGTGACCTATAAATATGCCGACGCCAACGCAGATGTAATATTCGCCTCCCACATCCAACTTTTACCTGGACCAATGGGATTTCGTAAAGATCTTAAAATCACGTGGGACGTAAATTGCACGGCTAACAAGATGTAATGATAATAAATAGTCCTGAATGCGATTGTGAGAGGATAAATAAATATACAGATATCTATCTGTCCCACGATCACATCCAATTTGCTAAAAGAGATTCTAATTTGCTATAATCTAACTACTTCTTCGTTCGACTGCCTAAATAAATAAAATAAACAGTATGAAGTTACATTTGTTCTCAATTTTTTTAAACGTACACTAAATTTTGGGTGAGCGGGAAAAGAGAACAATGTTTAATGTTTTTATTGGTTGAATAGACATATCAAGACACATTTAATGCCGATGCTTTTACTGTTGGTACTAATCACCAGATTAATAAGTAGTACCAAAAGTACGGAGCCTTATTGTACTATGTAGCACATCAAAAAGGTACTGATTTCTGTAGAAAGCTATTAACAGAATTGTACTTTTGGAACTGTATGCAACTATATTACTTCTTTGTTAAATTTGCAATAGGAAATACGGTCATATCCGCCGTAACGCGAACAGAAAACAGCAAGCACATCAACAGATCGATGACGCGCAAGACCTTCAGTAAGGACTTTCGACATTTGTACACCCTGAGTTTGTTCAGTACACAATGCAGACAGACCTTCAGCGGACTTTGAAAAGCTCTTATCATACTTACTTCTGTTTCAGAGATAGAGATCTGTATATACCGGCCGGATTATGTATACCACCCCCGAATTTAATGCTAATGTTTGTTAAACAAAACCGCCCACGCGGGATAATGTGGGACAATGTAGGTTACTAAGGTTATAATAAGAAGTTATACACGTCACTTGATATGGAAATCAGGCAAGCATATGAGAAATTTCCATATTAATGCTCTTAAACTTGAAAATTTAGAAGCACGTGAAATAAATTTACATAGTGAATACTAGCTGCAATTAAATGCGTTTTAAAACGTACTTTTCGTTAAAGTTGCAAGTTTTGGTAAGATAAAAGGATCATTCTTCGGAATAAATGCCTTCTTAATACTTGATTATCTTTTCTGTTGGTAATTTAATGAAATTTGTTGTACCAATGAGATACGTTTTCGAAGAACGATATCCTTTTTCCGTTTTCGATTCGAGCACGCGTAAGCATTGTATATTCGAAAGTGACATACATAATCTGTAACGGTAGGTATATAAGGAATTACCCAAATTTTCCCTTATAAGGTTCTCAAATTTTTTTGTCGTTCGTAGAGCAAAACGATACTGCACAATAAGCTACGAAACACGCTACAAAACGTCATGCAAATAGCTACATACACAACAAATAAGTCAAAACTATTACAAAACAAAAACAAATCTCCGCATACACACACACGCGAGCAAAATATGGAAAATGGGACCATTGAATGCCGCCAGAGCCATAAAGTATACCAATCCCAGCATGGAAGAATTGTTTCTTTAAAAATTTTCCCCTTAGCTTACCAAAGATACGTATCTGTAACTACCTAAAAGTTACAGATAAGTATCAACCTCCCGCACGAGCCGCTAGACTCTTGCGTCTAAGGCACATATGAAACAGTTGAAGCACGATTCCACGCTTCCGCTTCCGGATAAAGGAAGTAATGACAATAAGCGTATTTGAACTCTTTGAACGTCACAGGAAAGACACGGAATTTTTACCGTAAGGGAATTGGTCGGCGGAGGGGAAATCGTAATAGTTTGTCAGT